CTGCTTACTGGCTTGCTCCCCTGGCCCCTGCTCAGCCTGCTTTCTTATGCAACACAGGCCCACCTGCCCAGGGGTGGCACTACCTACAGTGGGCTGGGCCCTCCCACATCACTCATCAAGAAGATGCCCCTCAGACATGGCCACAGGACAGCCCAATAGAGGAAATTCCCCAATTGTGGTTCCCTCAACCCAGGTGTATCAAGTTGACACTAAAGCTATCCAGCACAGTCACTGACTCTGACAATGAAACGTCTACTTCTCCGGGGAAACCCCAACTCCTATCAGAGCAGCTAAATTCTCAGAATCCAATGACCTCATGTTTACCAGAATCTAGGGTTCACCATACCTGGGGTTCATCTGAACCATATGTGGGTTGTCAACACCCAGCTCAGCCCCATCCTATAGCCACCTATAGCTTAAGTCATAGGGAGGTTTACACCCCTCTGTGGCCAGCTTCACATGACCAACCTACTGGCTCCTGTGAACTCTTGCTTGGACAAGAGAGATGCACATACACGTTCTCCCTCTCCCTCTGGGGGGGTGTTGAAAGATGGGGGTGTTGAGGAAAGGATTTCATGTAGCTCAGGCTGACCTCAAATTCACTGTAGTTAAGGATGACCTTGAACATCTGATCCCTTCTTCCTCTTCCTCTCAAGTGCTGGGATTACAGATGTGCACCTCATGCTGGTTTAGGATTACACATAGATACAAATATAGATAATCTCAGATACTCTGCCTGGTCTTTGAAAATTTGCTCACCTGTGTCATCCATCACTTCCTAATTGCCTGGTGAGTGGATGTCTAGGGATCCTCCCTCACAGGTCAGGAGCTTATCTCTCTGCCAACCTTTTTTCATTTTGTCTTCCCCACTAAATGTCAGGCACTGTGCCCACCTGAAGCTGAAGTCCAATCCGGAAGACCCATGAACCAGCTGTCACCACTCACTGTGAAAAGCTCTCACGCCTTGCTAAGATCAGGAGACCTAAGGTGCACGAAGGGAGCCCAGCACCCAGACCAGGAGCTTAGCAAAGGCTTCCCAGAGGAAGAGATGATGAAGCAGCTGAGACCTAAAGCATAGGTAGAAGTTAAGAGGAATAATCCTGACAAAAAAGATAGCATTGGCACTGGCTTGGCAATCAGAGGCTGGGTCAAGGCAGCAGGAAGACAGTCCTGGGAGTTGAGCAGGGGAGAGTGTTACCATGAATCTGGCAAGCCATGCCAAAGCAGATATTGGGGACAATTGGAAAGGTTCCCATAACAAGTGGAAAGGTTGTGAGTGGATAAGCAACAAGGCCAGATTTGTAGTTGAGAATGCTTACCAAGTTTGTCTTCACTTCTTGAGAATTAAATGAGGTAATCTGGGCAAACAGTGCCTGGCACACAGCATTATGCTTTTCATTGTGATGCCTTCTTTTGTACTATCTACAATTGCATTCTGTTATTACTATGTGTGTGCACTGAGGATTAAACTCAGGGCCTCACGCCTTCTAGAAAAATATCATTGAGCTATGAGCTACAGACCCGGGGTGGGCTTTAACTCCAGATCCTTCTGCCTCAAGCCTCCTGAATGGATGAGATTACAGGCCTGTCGCACCAGGCCCTGGTACAGGCCAATCCTGGATCCTGCCGCTGTTTCCGGAAGTGGGCACAAAGCTCAGCCTGTATCAGGGGCGTGGTAAGGGTGGGTCAACCACTGAATCATCAATAAGCAAAGATAAGAGGCCTGTCTCTGAAGGCCCAGAGTGGAAAACATTCCACGATCTACCAAAAGAGGGCGCATGACGTTTCTCAAGAAAGAGACTGTGGGGAAGAGGGACTTGGCTACCAGGCTCACCTGGGGGCCGGGAGGGGCCCCCGGGACAGGGTTGGGGGAAGCTTGCTTTTAGGAAGCCTGGTGCCCAGAAGGTTTCCTTCTCAGGCGGTTGGGCTAGATGCCCAAATTTTATTTTCAGTTAAATGAGCTAAGAACTAATAAAATAAAAGTTCTTAAGATTGCACTGACTGTAGCTGCTGCCTCCACCTCTTGCTAGTTTTGAGGGCTTTGACTCTGGGCGTTTTTGTTATTTTTCAAGTGTTGATGATCAACCCAGGGCTTCATGCACGCTAGGCAAGTGCTCTCCCTCTGCGGTACACTCCTCTAAATGTTTAAGCGAAAAAACAAGACGCCACCTTTTCCTGGGCCACTTTGGATATTTATGGAAGTCCGTAGGTTGCACGCATACAGGACAGAATAGAACAGGCTTGTATCCTGGTTCTAAGATTTGCAAATGTTCAGTGTGGAATGAGAAGCCGCTAGAGCCCCTATGGGAGAGTAGGTAGGTACCAGGACAGGTGAAAACAGGTGCCTTTGGGGAGGACGAGAGACAGGGCGAGAAAAGAAGGAGCTGGAGAGTGAGAGACTGGGAAGGAGCCAGAGGTTGGCAAGAACAGCGGAGGACCGGAAGGGCTAGCCGGCCTCTGGGGAAGAAAGGGTCAACCTTGGGCTTGCCCCTTTAAAGTCGGGGTAGTTGGCGGCTGGGGGCGGGCCCTACGTGCCTCCACGGAAAACAACAGGCCGCCTCCAGCGCGGGGTTGGTTAAGGAGGCGGGCCCAGAGGAAAGCCACGTGCCGAGGCGCAAGGCTATTGGTGCTCCCAGAGTTGTTTGTGCGTGGCCATTGGCGTCGTCGGAGTACCGAGACGAGCCGATTGGTTGCGCTTTAGAGGCGCCCCCCAGGGCAAGGGTAGGGAGGAGGCGGCCGAACAGTGTCTCCCGGCCCGGCCAAGCCGGGTCCTGCCGTGAGCCTTCGCCAACGCCGGGACAGCAGCCGGAGCCGAGTCCGAGCCCGCGGCGCCACCGCCACCGCCGCCATGCGCTGGGTCCGGGCGCTGCTGAAGAATGCGTCCCTGGCAGGGGCGCCCAAGTACATCGAGCACTTCAGCAAGTTCTCCCCGTCCCCGCTGTCTATGAAGCAATTTCTAGACTTTGGTACGGAGTGGGAGGGAGGCGAGCACTGAGGGGCGTTGGGCAACGAGGACGGAGCTTGACTATGAGGGGTTAACACCGGGGGAGAGGATCTGGGTGGCTCCAAGGCTAGCTTGCAAGCATATAGGCTGGAAGGGTTAACGGCGGCGAGGAAGGCCTGCCTGGCTTTGAAGGAGTTAAGGGTGCCCCCTCCGCACTGTAAAAGGAATGGGGGGCTGGAAAAGGCGGGGGTCCATGGTTCCCTCCCCGGCTTTGAGAGCGGTCTTGGAGAGTAAGAGGCAGGGAGGGTGTAGGACCCCATCCAGACCCTATAGGACTAGTGGGGAAATGACGTAGCCACTAAGAGTAGGGGAACAAGAGTAAACAAGGGGTGTGATGGTTGATGAGAGTGATAAGGCAGGGTGGGAGGTTCAGTCATCTGGAAGAAGACATGGGCTCTGCTGGATGAGTGGGGTGCTAATGAGGGAACAGCAGAGAATTCCAGGGGCAGCTGGGAAGGGAAAGGGGCCCTTTGAGAAGGAGGTGCCAACAGAAGAAGCGCCCCTGACTGGTCAGCCTCCACCCATTGCATCTGCCCACTGGGCAAGGACGCTTGAAGATCAAATCTGTTCATGCCTGGCAGCCTGTTCCTAGCTGGGCAGAGGCCCAAGTTACCATGAGGTGGTCAGGTGGCTTGCACCCTTCCATGGCCAACCCTGAGTTCCTAAGGATCACCCATTACCAGTGTTCTGGAGGTAGAGGTGGCTTTGGGGTGAGAAAAAGCTGTGCCAACGTGGCAGATACAGACGTTGTGTGGCCCTGCCTGTCTACATGGCATTTCCCCGGTGCCAGCTGGTGAATGGGAGTGGGTCCAGGTCTTTGAAGAGTTGGCTTTAGTTACAGCTGTATCACAGACAGGAGGAGGACAGAGAGGTGTCAGCCAAGACATAGGGCACCTGTTTCCCCAGCACATACCTTTGTTTCTCCTTGCTCTGTTTGAGTCTTGAGCTTTGCCCATGTAGGAAATCCTCCAGGGCCCACTTCCAGCCCCCAGCAAAATGTCGCAGCTGGAGGAGATTGGACCACTTGTGTGGGGAAACCTTCAGAAGGGTGTTGATATACCCTGAGTGACCCAAGCAAAGCATAGATTTGAACCCTAGGTCCCCAAGACTACTCACTCTTCCACTGCCTGTCCATCCTGACCCTGGATCAAGGTCTCCATTTGCCTCACAGATGGTCATTAACAGGGCCCATTCTACATTAGCATCCAATTGTCTCCTCCTGGGTGAGGTGGCCTGCCCCAGAGACATTGCAGCCATAGGAATCTAGCACAGGAAGGGAGGGAGGGATTTCCTGGATGCCTCTGCTCCTTAGGCCAATCCCCTAGAATGAGTGCCTGCCTAGAAGGAGGGAAAGAAAAGTGAGGTGACAGACTGTAACAACTCTGAATGAGCCACAGGGATATCCTGCCATGGTTGACAAGAAGTCGGGGTTCAGCTGATAGTGACTAGGTGATGCCACCCCCAAAGTGTCAGCCAGGGTGGCAGAGTTAGGGGAAGGCTCACACACTACAGGATCAGGAAGGCTACCTTGCTATGTGCCCTCTGTAGGTCACTTGACCATTTTGGGGATCCAGCCTGCCCAGTCCCCACATGTGCTCCAGTTTCCATGATTTGTGGCTGTCCATTGACTCCCACCCCTTCTCTCTTAGGGTCCAGTAATGCCTGTGAGAAAACCTCCTTCACCTTCCTCCGGCAGGAGCTGCCTGTACGCCTGGCCAACATCATGAAAGAAATCAATCTGCTTCCCGACCGGGTGCTAGGCACCCCCTCAGTACAGCTGGTGCAGAGCTGGTGAGGCCCCTTCCGCTCCATCATCCCTCCATCATCATCACTGTGTGCCTGGGCTCTGGGGACAGAGTCAAGGCACAGAGGCTCCAAGAGGCAGGGAGCTGCCCAAGATCACATGGGAATCCTCGGCTGAGCAGGGACAAAGGTCAAGCGCCAAGCTATATCTGCCTCACCACCTTCCTTTCTCTGGGAACGTAGGGTCCATTGAAGAGGGCACTGCTTTCACAGTAAAGAGCAAAAGTCACACTACTAATGTCAACAATAACCAGTGGCCTGCTCCTGGAGCCCCAGCCCCTGTCAGGATTAGAGTAACTTGGGAAACCAAGAAACAGGGAGTTGATTCTGCCATCCAAGTGACAGGTCTGACTGTCTTGAATGTTGTGCAAATACTCAGTTAAGTACAGGGATGACACTGTTCCTTCACAAAGAGTTCTGAGGACAAGAATCAGAAGTTTGTTATAGGTAGCCACAGGCACAGAGCCCTGTCTAGGAGTAGGTAACTGGAGGCCACTAGCCAGTAGCCTCACATGAAACATAAACAAGGGTGGGCCTGTCACTGGGCATGTCCCTGGCTGGTCATGGATCAGTAGACTCTTGTGGTGACTGGGCAGAAATCTAGTCTTTGGGATTTTGTAGGCTCAGGAGCTTGTTTCATGCTTCTCCCAGCAATGTGCTATGTCTAAGCACACAGCAGCAGCTGGGGGTGAAGCTGGGGGGTAAAACATGTCTGTGCCTAGCATACAAAGGCCTAGGTTGATCCTCAGCAATTCAAAAGGGGAGGCGGCTGGAGAGTTGGCTCAGTGGTTAAGTGCACTGATTGCTCTTGCAGGGATCCTGGGTTTGATTCTCAGCACTCTCGTGACAGCTAACACCTGTCTGTAACTCCAGTTCCAGGAGATCCAACACCTTCTTCTGATCTTTGTGGGCATTACATGACCCAAGTGTACTTACATATATGCAGGCAATATACTCATACACATAAAATAAAAATAAAATATTTAAGAAAAGTTTAGCCAGGACTAGTGCTACAAAGGTATAATCCCAGCTTGCAGGGATTGAGGCAGGATGATCATGACTTTCAGGTCAGCCTCAACAACTTACTGAGATCCTATCTCAAAAGAAACAAAAAACTGGGGTTTGAGGTCAATGGTAGGATGCTTGTCTACTACAGATGAGGCCCTGGGTTCAGCTCTCAGCAACATACATGTATGCATACACACGCACACACATGCACAGGCACATACACATATACCCCAGCAGCTACCCACAGAGAGTCCATGGTCTCACAGGAAAATAAAATTCTGCCAAGACAGGGCAGAGTACAGTGCAAACAGAGAGGATCTGTGAGCACTGAAGAGTAGTTTTATTTAAATGAAAAATCAAAGTAACACTGATTATAACATCTCCCATTGCAGAAATGTAACATATTCATTTTGACACTTGTGAAACACAAAAGCATAGATAGAACATGGCAACCATTATACTCCTCCCTACAACCAGCCCCTGCTAAGGGGTCCTATGAGTCCTTGGTGCCCTTCCAGCATTGTGTGTGTTTGTGGCCATGCATCTGCTTGGCTTATTCTAGAGAGATGAGCTCCAGTAAGGGACAGAGTTGTACACACAGATCAGGTATGTTGTAGATGCCCAATGAATGTTGATTGAACCGGAAGTCATGGAGAAAGATGAGCAGGGTGAGCACCTGTTGTCTTAACACTTGGGAGACTGAGGCAGGAAGGCTTGAGTTCAGGAGTTCAAGCTCATCTTGGGCAACCTACTGAGACATTTCCAAACAAAACAGGGAAGTTGAAATGAATACACAGAGAGACTCGATACTCTAGAGCTAGAAAGAAGAGAGAGTCCTGTAAGTACAAGTTAAGAAAGTGGTGTGGGCAGTATCTGATTTTCAGGTGACCCAACTAGGTCACCCCTGCCTGAGCCCTACACCAGGAGGCCCAGGACTTCTGAGCCATCTTGAATGAGCTGCCATAGGGTGGGGAGGAAACAGAAGGTGCCATCTGTTCTCCCAGCCCTCTGCCAGTCTCTCTGATTGACTGACCTGACTGCCCCTCCAGCTGGTCTGTGACTTTGTGACAGGACTTCTCAGGCCCCTCCCTGGACATGGTCCTAGAGCAGCCCAAAGGGTGATATGTGGAGGGCAGGAGGCTGCTGGACAGCCCATGACTCCCCAGGGGGGGTCCCTCGGAATCCTTCCTGTGAATCAGCGACCACCTTGGGGCTTAGCCTGACTCCACTCTTCCTTCAAAGTTTGGAAGGAATGTCAAGACACAGCAGCGACCACCTTGGGGCTTAGCCTGACTCCACTCTTCCTTCAAAGTTTGGAAGGAATGTCAAGACACAGCAGGAAGGGATGAAGTCAGACAAGAGAAAACACTTTCCGAGTGGATGATTCAGCATAGAGGAAAACATGCCAAGGGGTTCTTCAGGCATCTTGAAGAGAGCCTGCTGAGAGGATTTGCAGAGCCAGTGGGCCTCAGCCACAGCAAGAGAGACTGAAGCGAGAGCAGAAAGAGCTTGCTCATGGGGCTGAGATGTTTTCCTGTAAGAGAGTGCAGCTTTCTTCCTTTAGGAAAAACTCTAGGTTGCAGGAGGATGATGGAGTGGTGGAGGTGGGCAGAGCCTTTGGGAGAAGAGGGCTTGACTTCCCAGGGAGCCTGGCCAGAGGGCCACTAGCCTGAGTCTGATGATTAAAGAGCAGAACCCTCTCCTGGGGACACAGGAGAAAATTGTGCAGAGGGAGCTATTGGCAGTGTAGTGACTAATACGTGTCCATGGCAAATAGGAGGTCTGGGTTCATGTTCTAAATGAAGAATTCCTAGTTTGAAGTAAGCCTGATTAACTCTTGCAGCTGGTCAGCTCTGAGGTAGGGGGACTGTATTTTGGAGATCACTGAAAGGTAGAGAAAACCCTAGGCTTGGCATCAGTGTGTGTGTGACACACTTGACTTTGAGACTTAGTAGACACTCCTGTGCAAGCAGTGTGGCCTCTTAGGCTCAGCCTCCTTGTCTATAGTGGGGGTCCAAACTGTTTTCTCAGGGTCCCATATCACTGAGAGGTGTGGAACATGTCTAGAACTTGGTCAGTCCCTGCAATGGTCCCATACCTTTGGGTGGCAGCATCTCTGTGTCAAAGGTGATGTAATTGTGTAGAGATTTCAGAGGCAATGTGGCAGTGAGGGGCAAGGAGGATGTCAAAGAGCACCACACCTGAGGACTTGCTATGTGCCAGGGCTGCACTGCACGCTTACTTGGATGACCCTGTAATCTTCGTGACCCTTGCAAATGAGTGTCACCATCCCCACATGAGAGATGGAGGTTCAAGAAGTGGGGAGCTGTGGTCAGTCAGGGAGTGGTGTTGGAGCTGGAATTCAAACCCAGGCAGTGCATTTTGGAGACTACATTTGGGAAGGGACAGGAGGAAGGCTGTGTATGGGGCTGTGCTGCAGGGCAGTGAGGAAGCATCAGGAAGATTTCCATACTACATGAGAGTTTATGGGAAAGTAGGTTTCACCTACAAGAATGATGTGTTCCCTACTCCTTGGCTCCTCTCTGGAGGATGACAGCCTGAGGAAGCATGGGTAGGTGGAGAGAGGCTTCCAGAAAACCCAGTGAGTCACTCTTGTCACTACGTCTCTGGGTTGTAGGGAAGAGATGTGATCCTGTGTGTATGGGCTAGGACCATCACCCTCTCAACCACCTCCCTGACTTTTTCACAAGGTGTGTGGACCCCCAGCCCTGCCTGTGAAGAGCCCCACTCCTACCCCGTGAAAGCCAGGCAGCACTTGTCCTGAGCAGAGAAACAGGTACAAGGCTCACAGGCTTGGCATCAGAGAGTGTGTGTGTGTGTGTGTGTGTGTGTGTGTGTGTGTGTGTGTGTGTGTGTGTGACAGAGAGAGAGGGAGAGGGAGAGGGAGAGAGAGAGAGAGAGAGAGAGACACAGAGAGAGAGAGAGGGAGAGAGAGAGAGAGAGAGAGAGAGACAGACTTCTACACTTATTAGACACTATTGTGCAGGCACTGTGTTCTGGAGCCTCCACTAAGCCAGCCCATCCCTCATCCCTCCTGGCCTAACCCATAGCTGAGTAGTCCCAGTGGTAGTGACTGACTCCTGAAGCTTTTTTAAGGCACATTCTCTCCCACCCCACACTTCCTGCTGTAGGCCTCATTTTGCAGTTGGGGCTGGAGCATCCCAATGGTGTTCAGGGCACACCCAGCCCCCAAACATCCCAGGTGTGGGACACATCTCTCCTCTCTCCCTGTGCAAACAGCTACCTTCCTAATGTTGCCATTGCCTGGTTCATGTCCCCAGCAGCTGTGGATGCTGACCTGTGCTCTTCACACACACATATAACACACACATGCACACACTTACTGCTCTGCTCAGCCATCCCTTGCTCCCACATACTACTTGCACCCTCTTCCCTCTCCTATCTCTACTCCTGCCCCTCCCCTGGGGCCTGCATTCAGCCCCATGGAGGGCAACATCAGAAGGATCTGAGGGGCCGCTATGTTACCTTGGGAGGTTAGAAATACCAGATCTTGGGGCTGGAGACATGGCTCAGCTGTTCAGAGCACTGACTGCTCTTGCAGAAGACCTGGGTTTGATTCCCAGTACCCACATGGTGGCTAACAACCGTCCAAAACTCCAGTTCCAGGGGAGTCTAACACCTTCTGACCTCTGTGGGCACAGCATGATACAGGTGCATTTGCACACATACATGCAATATACTCATACACTAAAATAAAAATAATAAATAAAATATTTTTTAAAAAACCGAAGTACCAGCTCTCATGCCAGGCCTGGTGGCACATTCCTTTAATCCCACTACTCATGAGGCAGAGGCAGGTGGGGCTCTGTGAGTTCAAGGCCAGTTGGTCTACAAAGTGAATTTAGGCCAGCTGGGGCTAACAGGCAGACCCTGTTCCAAAAAAGACAAAAAAAAAAGCAATACCAGATCTCACCAAGGAAGGAGGGCTTTCCCCTTTTCCACCCTCTGCCTGGGTACACCCTCTGCTCTTCTGGCCCTTTCCCTGGCTCTGGGAATGTGGCTGCTCAGGAGCCAGCATGGCACCATTCCTGTTTCTCTCTGGAGGATCCAGCTCTATCCAAGGCTGGCATATGGAAGGCCAGACCCCTGGGGACCTCAGGACCAGGGCCAACCCTTCCCATGTTCTCCTCTGGATCTCGGGGTTATTCCCCTATGGGAATGCCCCTTTGAGGGGCAGGCAGAGATGGAACTCTCCACAGTACCCCCACAGTTACTCTGCCAATACTGCCCTTCTCAGTCTGTCCAGGTGCCCTTTGTTCTGTGTCTGTGGCCATATGACAAGCCCTTGAAAGTTCACTGGGTTGCCCTGCCTGGGCATGGAAACTGACCTTGTCCTTTCTCACTCCTGGCCATGTACAGAACCTCCTGCCTCTGACTCTTCCATCTCCACCCACCTTGGACCTTGAGAAGACCTTAAGGCCCCATCTTCCAGCAACCACCCCCCCCACTTATAGCTTCTCTCCTAAGTCCCCACTCCCTTGAAGCCCCTTCAGCTATTAGGCCTTTATGTGAGCCCCCAAGCCCAGGTGGGCAGCAGTGGTCAGTCCATAGTAGTCCCTCAGTGAATGTCAGCTGTCATACCTGTCCAGGGAGACAGGTATCTGCATCAGGTGAGGCCCTGTCCTGATGCAGGTATCTGTTGGGGACAGGGATTGGAGGCAGTGTGTGGGGTAAGCTGGTAAGCTGGTCTCTTCTGCCATCCTGACCTACTCAGTCAGCAAGGACAGCTCCTCCCACAGGCTGCATGCTAGGCACTGGCTGGGGAGGCCAAGGAGGTGCCCCAGGCCAAACAGTTCCTGTCCCCAGTGCAGCTCTGCAGGGCAAGGTGGGTTAAAGCATGTTATGACTCAGGGCCAAAAGCCAAGCAGTAGTAGAGTTGATGGGGTGTGCTCAGCTAGTGGCAGACTTTGAGCCACAAGCATCCAGAGTACTCTACAGTAAAAAGAAGGGATCAGAGCTCCTACCTTCTTAGTGAAGAAACCACAGCCCAGATAGGTTTCATGGCTTTCCCAATGTCACACAGCATGGCATGGAAAAGCCAGGACTAGGATCCAGCAGAACCAGTTGTCTTATGTCTAAGCAAGAGATGGAGGGCAGCAGTTGCTGGGTATAAGAGAAATGACAATGCACACACAGGATAGTGTGAGTGGAGCTCTGGGAGTGAGATCCTAAGCAGTGGCAGCCTTTAGGTGGCAAGTGTTCAGGAAGCCTGAGTCTTTGTTGTATCTTTACCCAGCTGGGGTCCTGCTCCAGACCTCATCCCACTTCTTTAGAGCTTGGAGTAGGTCCTAGGGTGGTGGCATCTTTTCTAAAGCCATTTCTGAGCCCCAGGCCCACCCCACCAGGGGCTCAAGCTAGGAAGTGTTTCTGCCAGAGAGAACAGAGGGACACTGGCACTTCCTACCTTCTCAGGACGAGCTATAAGCTGGACATGTCTATGAGGAAGCTGAAGTCATAGGTCAAGCAGGCATGGGGCAGTGGCCTCAGGTTGGCATCATCTAACACAGTGTCCTTCTCATGTAGAAGCTGACCCCACTGGCCCTGTGCTCTTTGTTTGCATCTCTTTCCTGGTGGAGGGGAGACCTGCCCCTCTGACCAGGCCTGTAGGTAAAGCAGGCAGCAGGGGTCACCCACCACACCCATCCTGCTCACTAGCTTTACAGGGCAGAGTGAGCCTCTGGCCACACCAACAGAATTGGTCACATCTACTCATCTTTCTAGACTGGGGTACCCTAGGCAGGTTCCAGGTCACTGTGGGAGGGACCCTGTGCCTGCCAGTCTCCCAACTGTACCCATAGGCCACCAGATGCCTCAGCCCCATGTGGGGAGTACCAGTATTGTCTGTGAAAGGGCTAGGCAAAGCAGGCAGATATTCAAGCCCTCTGTCACCAAGCCTTTTGGTACAGTCAGGCCTCAATCCCCTGATCTGTGCAGCCTCTAGAGGGAATGGTCTCTAGTCCCTCCTAAGACACTTGTTCTGGGTTTCCAAAACAAAGGCATGCACTGTAAGGGAACCAGCAAATGAGAAGTTTCCTTGCACAGCTTACTGGATCATCAAGGAGACTCAGAGCAGATGACATGGGACAGACGTGTGTAGCTTGTCAGCAGGTCCAGCTGTGTGATACCCGTGGTAGCATCTGAGGGGGTAAGAGGGAGACTTGTGTAGCCTCAGCTGAGCTCATGTCCCCTTCTGTTTGTCCATAGGTATGTCCAGAGTTTGCTGGACATCATGGAGTTCCTGGATAAGGATCCCGAGGACCACCGGACCCTAAGCCAGTGAGTGAGCGCCCGAGTTGGGAACAGGAAGGCAGGTGCAGTCAGGCATCTTGGTCAGGGCCCCAGGGGGCAAAATGCCAGTAGAGTGAAAGGAAAAGCCCCTGCTTTCAGAAATGTCCAGTGTGAGGGGGAGACAGGTTGCTTCTGGGAGATCCAGGTCTGCTGGAAGAGATGCAGACTTGAATCTTCAGTATGCCAAGAGGACATGGGGAAGACCCTGTGCCCAGGGAGCACCCTTCAGAGGATCTGAGCACTCTGGCTGTGAGCTGGAAGGTGGATTGAAAGGTGGGAGAATAAGGGTGGACTTCAGGCAGGTTAGCACTGTGTGTCTGTGGGGCTGTAAAGAGCAGAGCCAGTGAAGATGTTAAAAAGGGGTTGGGAGTGAAGGAGAAACAGTGAAGGAGCCTGGGTGGGGGTGAATGTCTGCCTTCCTCACAGGTTCACTGATGCCTTGGTCACCATCCGGAACCGGCACAATGATGTTGTACCCACCATGGCGCAGGGTGTGCTGGAATACAAGGATACCTATGGCGATGACCCGGTCTCCAACCAGAATATCCAGTACTTCCTTGACCGCTTCTACCTCAGCCGCATCTCCATCCGCATGCTCATCAACCAGCACAGTGAGCTCCGGCTGCTGCCAAGAGTGCAAGGGGTCTGGTGGAGTTTACCAGGAAGGGGCATTGCCCTGATAGCACAGCAGGGGTCCCCCTTTCAGTCACTATGCCCAGGGGCCAAGGTGCCATTCAGAAGCCTAAGTGTTACTGGCTCAATCCAGGCTTGGTAGCACATCTCTTGGGAGGCCAAAGCAGAAAGATCATAAATTTGAGGCCAGACTGGGCTATATAGTGAGACTTGTTTCAAAGAACAACCAAGGGGCTAGAGAGATGACTCAGTTGTTAAGAGCACTGACTACTCTTGCAGAGGACCGGGGTTTGATTCCCAGCACCCACATGGTGGCTAACAGCCATCGGTAACTCCAGCTCCAGGGGATCCGACCTCCTCCTTCTGACCTCCACAGGCATTGCACAACACCGGTGCACTTATACATAAAACACTTACACACATGCAGGCAATACACTCATAAAATAAAAATAAACAAAAAAAAAACCCAAAATCAAAAAGTTACTCTAAAAAGAAAGCAAATGTGCAGCACTGAAATTTATATATTTGCTCTTTTTAAGACAGGGTCTCCCTGTAGCCCCAGCTGGTTTGGAACTCCCTATGTAGACCAGGCTGGCCTTAAACTCAACAGAGATCTGCCTGCCTCTGCCTCCCAAGTGCTGGGATTAAAGGTGTGTACCACCATGCCTGGCCAAAATACATTGTTTTAAATATTTGTAAAACACAAAATATGCCACATCTTTAAACATTTAAAATTTTTTTATTATCCATTCATCTATCTGTTTTTTGCAAATGGAGGTCAGAGAACAACTTGTAGGCACTTAGCTTGTTCTCTCTTTCTACCATGCAAGTCCTGGGGATTGAACTCAGATTGTTAGGCTTGGTAGCAAGCACCTTTACCTGCTGAGCTATCCTGTCAGTCCTTTAAAAATTTTTAATTGGCTTTTTAAAAACATTCTCATTCACTAGGCGTGGTGGCGCATGCCTTTAATCCCAGCACTCAGGAGGCAGAGGCAGGTGGATCTCTATGAGTTCAGGCTGGCCTGGTCTACATAGTGAGTTCCAGGACAGCTGGGGCTATAGGGAGACCCTGTCTCAAAAAAGACAAAAAAAAAAAAATTCTCATTCAAAAACTGTTTGTTGTTTAGAGCGCCTTTCCCAGGATTTACTATGATGGTTGACAAAGCATAGTCATTGTAAGTTAGATAAGTTCTTGATGCTCAAATCATAAAGATTGAAAAGCAGGATGATGACAGTTGTCTTATAATACTATTTGAAAGCAAAGATTACATTTAGCGGGGTGTAATGTGGGGAGAACCCTCTGGACGGGATCCTGCAGGCTGCAGAGGCTCCAGGAGGCCTGAGCTCTAGAGGGAAACAGGATTGGGGGTAGTTGGGGATGGTCACCACTGATCCTGTAGAGGTTTCCAGATGAGGTGAAGGGCAGGACATTTGGAAGAGGGAGTGCTAGGCCCTGTGATCTAGCCAGCAATGCCCTTCCCTCTGCCCACAGCCCTCATCTTTGATGGCAGCACCAACCCAGCCCATCCTAAACACATTGGCAGCATTGACCCCAACTGCAACGTGTCCGACGTGATAAAAGGTGAGCCCCACCCCCAGGCCTGGCCCATCAAAGACTTCCAGGGACCCCTCCTAGCTAACATGGCCAGAAAGTGATCTATTCCCAGTGGGTGGGGGCCATGTAGCCATGGGCGTTATTGATGATGCACAGTGTCAATGCCAAGGGGACTGCCTGTTGGGTCAGCCACCCATGGCCTTAGTGACCCCATCTTCTCTTAGATGCCTATGACATGGCCAAGCTCCTCTGTGACAAGTATTATATGGCTTCACCTGACCTGGAAATCCAGGAAGTCAATGGTAAGCAAGAGAGGGAGGTTGTGTGTATGTACGTGTCTCAGTGGGTTAGAGACAGATGAGTCTAGGGGAGCTGGGGAATCAGAACTTGAACTGCTTTCTAAAGGGGAGTTGCAGATCTGCTCTGTACTATTCATTGGATAACTGCTAACTATTTTGGTAAATAAATCCTGTAAACAAGACATGCAAGGCCCCTGCCATCATGGAAGTTGCATTCTTGATACTGGGGGAGGTTGGAGAATGGGACTGTTAACTACTGAACAGGTAACTATACCAAATAATTTCCAAAGCTTGGTGAGTGACAGGAAGAACATAATGTGGAGTGACAGGACAGAGACCAGAGGAGCAGTGTGTGATGGGACACTTCTCCGGAACCCAAGAACCAGTGGCTTGATTTAAAGATATGCTCAGGGGCTGGAGACATGGCTCAGTGGTTAAGAGCACTGACTGCTCTTGCAGAGGACTCGGATTCAATTCCCAGCACCCACATAGTGGCTACGAACCATCCTTAACTCCAGTTCCAGGGGAATCCGAAGCCCTCTTCTGACCTCCCCGGCATTGCACAACACGGGTGCACTCACATACATGCAGGCAATACACTCACACATAAAATAAAAATAATAAATGAAATATTTAAAAAAAGTTATGTTCAGTTAGCCAGCCCCTGGGTGGGGTAGTCAGAGCTGGTACCCACTCCTAGTTGGAAGGAGGAGGCTGAAGAAGGCAAGACTAAGCACATGCCTTCTGCGGGTCACTAGCTACTCCAGCTTGGGGGAGGCTGACAGCCATGTGCCAGTTACAGCTGTGGAAAGATGGAGGGGTGTCTGCTAGGAAGGGGAAAGGGTTGCAGGGTCCCACTGTAGGTAAGATACTGGAAGGTGACCTCACTTCCTGCTCTTGGTCTTGATTCCCACAGCTACCAATGCCACCCAGCCCATTCACATGGTCTACGTCCCCTCCCACCTCTACCACATGCTCTTTGAACTCTTCAAGGTGAGAAGGCTGCACTTCTTAGGGGAGGCCCAGCAAGGTCAGCCCTTGGCCCTCAGCCTCAGCAGCACCCTTGAGGACTGGCTTCTCTAATTCAATATGTCCCTCATTCCTTCCCCAGAATGCCATGCGGGCCACCGTGGAAAGCCATGAGTCCAGCCTCACTCTCCCACCTATCAAGATTATGGTGGCCTTGGGTGAGGAAGACCTATCCATCAAAGTATGTGACCTTTGATCTGACCATCGGAGGTCAGGGGGTGGTTAGAGTGAGAGGTGGAAAACGAAGCCCTGGAGGGCACCTCACATGTCCCATGTCCCCCAGATGAGTGACCGAGGCGGGGGTGTCCCCTTGAGGAAGATAGAGCGGCTCTTCAGCTACATGTACTCCACAGCCCCCACCCCCCAGCCTGGCACTGGAGGCACCCCACTGGTAAGATGACTTCATGCAGTCCCCTTGGCTCCTGCTTCCTTAACTCCCAAGTATACTCCACCCTCACAGCTATGTGGTGACAGTCCCCTGTCCTGAGTCTGGTCCTCCTGTCCCACTCATCCCTCCCCTACCTGCTCATATCCCCCTGCCTGCTGAGCATTTGCCCTCTGCTTAGCTGTCACTTTTCTTCAGCATTTTCTCTCCTGCACCAGCTGCATTGCTAATTGCCAGCACCTTCCTGCCCCAGCTCCAGCTCCTATGGAGTAAGCAGACCCAGGTTTGCAGAATAGGGTCAAAGAGCCTGTGACTACCCAGGTCTCTGTGTAGAACTCTCCTGCCCAGCTTCTCTCCCTTCCTCCATGATCTCTCACCCACCACCTACTCCCATCTTCCCCCAGAGATGTCCCTTCCCTATCCCAGCTCCAGGAAATCCCTGTCTTCCCTGAGCCCAGCACCCCTGGTTCATGATGTGGCCCCAGAAGCCCAGCACCAGCCCGTCAGCCTGTCTTCCTGCCCCTGCAGGCTGGCTTTGGATACGGACTCCCCATTTCCCGCCTCTATGCCAAGTACTTCCAAGGGGACTTGCAGCTCTTCTCCATGGAGGGCTTTGGGACAGATGCTGTCATCTATCTCAAGGTGAGACTCACCAGGGGTGTGTTTGCTGCTGGCAGCTTCCTGCCCATCCCGTCCCTCTTCCTCCCTGTTTCCAGACTCAGCAGAGCTGGGGCACTGTAAACTCAACCCACTACGGAAGGGAATTTCAGGGAGTCCAGGGCTTGTGATTAAGGACTCTTAGGCCTGGAAGGAAGGGGTCTTGTCTGTCAGCTGAGAGGGGATGTGCCTTGGTGACTGGTACAGATTACACAGCCCAGCCTCCTCCCTCTGGTTTGCTTTCCTGACCTCTGAAGGAGCAGCTTTCTGAAATGAGTGGGAGCAGGACATAGACGATCTAGACCCTTTCACAGGTCTTTCTAGGCCTGGAGGAGTGTCTCAGGTAGCATCTGCTTGCTGGGATGACTGTGACCTGGGTTATAATGTCAAGGTGGAGACTAGCAGGGCCCATGTGAGAAAGGGTTATATGCTAGAGTAGGGAAGGCACTGGGAAGCAGGAGGCTGATGGCCACAATCCCTAGGCCCTGTCCACGGATTCAGTGGAGCGCCTGCCTGTCTACAACAAGTCTGCCTGGCGCCACTATCAGACCATCCAGGAGGCCGGTGACTGGTGTGTGCCCAGCACGGAGCCCAAGAATACGTCCACATATCGGGTCAGCTAGGGGCCTTCTCTCCCCGGCACCTGGGAGAACACTGCCACCTCTGGATCCAGCCACCACAGGGACTTTCCCCATTCTCTGGGGTGCAAGAGCACAGCTGAGTCTCCTTGATGACCAGGTCTATCTCTGTAGAAGTCATAGTGACCTGTCTGTGGTGGTCCCTAAATGCCAGTCTGTCTCCGTGGAGACACCTAGGTGGTCTCCCTGGAGCCCAGTCTCTGTTGTGATGCCTGAGGGTTGGGGATGGCTGTACCTGATGGAATGCCCTAGAGTGGACAGCCCAGCCTGGTGGTATACTTCTCCTTGGCAGTTCTCCCCAGACCAGGACTGTCACCTTTCTGCCAGGGGCCCTGGGTCCCCTCACTGCCTGCATTGCCCTGGCCTTCCAAGTGTCTGCCCTGCTTGCCTTATTACCTGACCCTGTACAGGCACACTAAGCTGGGTCCTTTGTCAGTGTCAGGAGGGGTAGGGAGAGGGGGTGCACCCTTGGCCCTGGTTGGGGCCCTGGTCTTGCAGCCTTTTTCCACTCTGGACATTAAGGTTGCAACTGGGAGCTCAAGAGTAGGGAGTGGTTCTCACCCAAGGCCCACTCCTAAAGCAAAGACACCTGGGAAGCCCAGAGGTCGCCAGCCCCACCAGGACTCTAAAGCAACTGTGGTGATGTTTCTGCCGCTGCCCAAGCCCTTGTCCAGCATGACCTCACATGCAACCAGTGTACACCTACCCTGTTCTGCCTGAGCTTTGGATCCCAACCCCACTGTGCTCACTGTGTGCGCATGGTGACTTGTGCCCTAGGACGCTTTATGTACATATAGTCAGTTTTATAACCCTCAATGCCCCACCCTTCCCCTTGGCACACAGCGGTTAAAGCTGTGTGCTCCTCACATTGGCTGGGATGGTGACAGTGACATCTACAGTAAATAGATGAAATGAGACTGGCGCCTGGCTGTGCCTTGCTGGGAGAGGGGGAGTCCACATGTGCACTTGTGGAGACTGGCACTCTGGGACCAACTGCATTTAGGACATCAGCCTGGCTGAGGACCTGGGCAGTGTGCATCATGAGTATACCTCCAGGCTGGGCTCTCCACTCAGAATGCCTGCCAGCCATTGCCAAGTGATGCTCAGGGTATGGCTTAGTCCCTTGTCCCAGATAGAAAGATCACTAGTATGTGGTAAGTGTTTATTGAAAGAAGTTGAGAACCGCCTCCTCTTTTCACATGCAGGTGGGCATGTAAACTTGACCCCTGATAACTTCAGGAACAGTAGGGCTTCCACCCTCCTTCCCATTCCAGATAGTGCTAGTGCCCCTCACCTCAGTTTCCTTCTGAAGCCACTCTCCCAATGCAGATGGCTGAGCTGAGGCACAGAGCCCTGGCTTCTAGCCCCAGGCAGGAGTGAGGGAGTCAGCATGCAGGACCTTTCCACCCCTTCAGACAGCTGGAAGGGGTGGAAGTTTCTCATCAGAAGTCCCCTGGGCCAAGTAGTAACTGACCAACGCCCTAGAAGCTGGGCCAGCTGCTAGCCAGCCTGGCACCTGGACCCTCTATCTCTGAATGTCTCCTAAAAAGGATAGATACCAGCGCGACTCAGGGCTGGCCCAGCCCTCCCTGTAGCCTAGCAAACCTGAGCCAGCAATGTCTGCTAGCTCTGGGCTGTGGAGAGCCTGACATATCCATGCCTGGAGAGCTGATGGGGCCTTCAGGTGCCTCTGCCTGGCTGCAGTGATGAGAATTACCAGTTCAGCACCCCCTAGTCATTAGTAGGGGGATGTCCTGTGTCCCCAACAGCTCCCAAGTTTATCCTACCCCCAAAGAAGGTTCACGTGCTATCTGAAGTGAATTCTAGCTTGGCAAGAGGGTCAGAGACCCACTCCTGACCCAGTGGGAGAGGGACAGAATTACGCAGGGCCATCTGGCCCCTGGGACCCGCAGGGTAGTGAAGGGGAAAGAGAAGTGGTTCCCTCTTCTCTCCTACAGCCCTAGTAGAGCCAGTGTCCCCTGCACTGCATGCTCTACTCTGAGGAGCTCTCTGGGAGCCAACCCTGAGTGCTACCCTGCAGTGCCCACTGACCTCTGGGAAAACTGCTTTTCTACCAGCCACCTTAGCTCAGGAGACACAGCCCTGTCCTCTGGTCCCTGTAGAGAAGCTCAAGCTGCCCTCTGAGCCTAGAAATCCTGGCCATGGTGGGGCCTCTCTTGCTAGCTTACTTTTGCCCAGCACCACCCTACCTGAGGACAGAGGTTCATAATGAACCAGGCTCCTGTAGGCTCCAGACACTGCATTCCTGGCCTTTGCCCGCCTCAGCTGCCACCTTCTTCTCCCTGGAAGTCTGCCAATCAAGTCCTCAAAATTGGGTTAATTACTGAGCCCTCTCCCTGGGGTCTCCCTCCAGAGGACTCAGTCCAAACAGGGTGAGAGGGGTATGTGCCCCATGAGCCTGGTGCCCAGACCCCACCTCCTTGGTGAGGCCTGTGCAGGCGATTACAAGTGTGCCCGGGTGCCAGCATCGCCAGTCTCCCTAGCTCTTCTTGGCCTCGTGCTCGCGGCGCCTTAGCTTCTCCCGTTGCCTTGCAGCCTTCTCCTGTGCCTTCCGCTCCTTCTCAGCAGCCACTGCCAGCTCCTTCAACTTCCGCTTCACCAGTGCCCGGTCATGCGAACTGCTGAGCCCCAGGCTCTGGGAGGGAATCCAAGTTGGAGGAAAGAGGCCCAGAATCCTATCCCCCTGAATTCCTTGCAAACTCTTGAGTCTATCCTAAAGTGTGGCCTCTACCTTCCACACTCTCATTTGCCCAGGGATCAGGCCCCAGGGGGAAGGAATAGAAAGTGTGGTCTTAAGAGATGGCTGCTGAAGGTACTAGGCCATTTATTGTCAGATCCTCAGCTCCAGTTCTTCTCAGGATTTCAGGCTTAAACCCTGCACAGCCTCCTGAGGACCAGAGATGAAGAGTGACTTGTCCAAGGTCACACAGCTGGCCAGCAGCCAAGACCCCTACCTACGTCCAGAGATTCCCTAGGGGGTTCTCCTTTGAGACCAGGAACCTGCAGCAGATGTCAGAGGCCATTCTTCTTGGCACACCATGACCACCAGGCTCTGAGACTGGTGATGAGATTGATCTCACCAGGAAAGAGGCTTGGTTTCTCAAGGTCAGATGATAGTTTCCAAGGGCAAGGTTAGCCTGAAGACAGGCTGGAACTAGAGGGTCAAGTAGAAGAGGTGGGCTTGAGTTTCAGGTCAGACTGGGGAGTCCTACACTGCAAAGATTAAACCAGGACCGTGCATAAAGGTCAGATACCAGGGCTGTGACTAGACAGGAAGAGGAAGTCCCAGGTCAGCCCAGGAAGCAAGATTGAGGGTCAAAAATAGGACAAAAGAGAGTTCCAGTCCTTGAAGGCAGCCTCAGCCTGGCTGGGTCCTGGCCTTTGCACTTTGACCTACCTTCAGTTTACTTCCATCCAGCTGCAGGAGCTGTGGTCCATCCACCTTGCGGGCAGCAAACTCTGCGGCATACTGCTCCAGGTTGAGGCTGTGCAGCCACTGGACCACCTGCTGGCTGGTCCAGTGCTGCACAGTAGGTAAAGGCTCATCCAGGAACTGTGGCAGAGATGGGGAAATCTGTAAAGGGGGCTCAGCTTATGTCTGGGACCCCAGAACACGCCACCAAGGCTAGCCTTACCTCATCCGAAGACTGGGACAATGTGTGGTAGGGGTAGGAGCACTTGGCCTCCTGTCGAGGACCACTGGGGATCTTGGGGCTGCTACTAGGGGGTGTGGAGTCGTCACTCAAGGTGGATTCCTGGACAAGAAGGGATGTATGCTGAGCAAGTTCACCCCCAAGCCTATCACCTTGATCAGATGGAGCTGAAATGCTAGATGCACCAGCAGTTGCTCAGTGCTCTTGAGCGTAAGTGGGGAGCTAGGCAGGCACAGACTCAGGTCATGGTGACTCATGTGAGACATCAGAACATGAGCCCTCGCTGAAGGAGGCAGCCACCTAGAGCACATGGCACTGACATTAAGTTGGACAGAATAGTTAACAGGAATGGAGGAGGCTAGGTGCTGCTTCCTGCAGGCAGCCCACCAGGATCCCCACAGGCTGGGTCAGGTGTTCCTGTCATGTGCTGTCCCTCTTTTAGGCCTCTTACATCCTGGCTAGTGGATGTCCCCACTGGACTTTTGAGTTCAATGAGGACTTGATTTGTCTCATTCAGGATGGTGTCCCCTGGGCCCAGAATAGAGGAAAAAAGGGAGGGAGGAATTGAGAAAGGGTGTAGAGTGTTTAAAAAATATAGTCCCAATTCAGAAGGGTCTTCCCTATGTTCCCAGATTTTTTAGTTTCCTTGGCTCTGGAGCACAGAGGAACAGATACACAGAGCAGGCATTGGGTCTGGCAGCGTACAACTTTGCATCTGTGCACATCTGTGGGCAAGTTCCTTTTCTCTGGACCACCTTTGCTCATCTGGATAATGGGAACAGTGCCTGCCCTCCCCACATCACTGATAAAGCCGCATATGTGTTCTGGGCTATGTAAAGTATAGAGGTCTGTGTGAACATAAGGAGACTTTAAGGTCGCTTGTCTTGCTAGTTTGAATTTCCTAGGGTCTGAGGCTTTGGGGGCACTAGGTAGGGCTCCTGTTCATCTCTGTAACTCTAAAACTTCCCACTATGGAGGTGACCCATCCCCTAATGGTGCAGCCCAGACTTGGGTCAGGAACATGAGCAGCAAGGGTAGCCTCAGACTGAGTGAGCAGGGGTTCAGTGTTATTCCATGGGTGCCCAGTACAGAAAGCAATGAACAAATCAGTGAATGAATGAATCCAGAGAGTAGATGAAGTCATGGGTCACTAGGGTCACAGCTCAAGCCATGAAGAAGCATGTCCTTGTCACTTAAGTCTAGGGCCTGTTTGGGGGCAAGAAAGTCCAGGGCTTACACTGGGCAGGGTGACACACTTGCAATTCCAGCACTGAGGGCAAGGCCAGCCTGGGATACATAGTGAGACTCTGTCTCAGGAAAAAGAAAGAAACCAACAACCTAGGCTTACCTGGGAAGCTGACTTCTTGGGGCTGAAGCCCTCATGTTTAGGGGAACAGGTGGGGGAGGTGGTGCTGCCTGAGGAAGCAGAGCCCTTGCTGCTGTCGGTGAACCAGGAAAAGGGCAGGAATGGGGAGCTCCCTGCCCTGCCAGACCCTTCCACCGATTCCCTGTGGAGAAAGCATCCAGTATGGTACAGGTGCTGAAGAGAGAGTGGAAACTGTATGTGGGTGCCACGGGTACCTCTCACCTGCTGCCCATGGACAGGCGGTTGCTACCCTTTTCCTTCCGGCTCTTGCCAGTGGATGCTCGGCGGAGAGTGACCCTGTGAGGAAACCGGGAATGGGACAGAGCTGCCCACTTTGATGCCCCAACCCCAGCAGCTCCAACAAGCTCCATATGCAGGACCCTCTTCCACTCACCCCAGGTCCAGGAATTTTCTGCGAGTCTTTTTATCCAAGCCGATAGTGGGACTGGCAGGCTCAGGGGGACTGGCATTCCGGCAATCATCTTTAAAGGGAGGGGGAGGAAATAGTTCAAGTGGTGGTTTGTTTTCCTCTTTCTGCTGCCCATGTGGGGTGGTAGGCATTCTTTTGACTTAGAATCTGGTCACTTGGCTTGAGGGCCCTTAACTAGCTGTTCGACCCAGGATAACACTATCTCTCTGTGCTCCCCTTCATTTCAAATATAGGGATATGCCCATTTTACAGTACCTATTGAAAGCCTAGACTTTGTCTTTTACAAACTGTAAAACACTACAATAGATAAGATAGTGTATTTTTGAGGCAGGGTCTCATGTAAACCAGGCTGGCCTGGAACTCCCTGTGTAGCCAAGATGGACTTGAACTTCTGATTAGCCTGCCTTTTACCTCCTGAGTACTAGGATTGCAGGTGTGCATCACTACATCTGGTTTTATGCAGTGCTGGGGACTGAACCCCTGTCTTACTTCGTTCTAGGCAGGCACCGTCAATTGAGCTACATTCCCAGCCCACTACTGTTTATTTTATCCTGGCCAGCTTCTAACCAGCCTTCCAATCCAGGCTCAAATGTCACCTCCTCAGAGACGCTCTCCAGGATCCCCTGGCTAGTTCAGGCTAGGCTTTTTCACTGCTGTGCATATTTCCTACATAGCACTTATGACTTGTAACTACACGTTAAGGGTTGATTTGGCCGTTCCATCCCTAAGCTGCAGGGACTGCCTCTCTGCTCTGTTTGCATCCCAGGACCTAGCCATGTCTGGCACACGGTAAATCTCAGGCCATTTTCCCACGTCCTTCCACAGCCACCGTCCATCCTGGCCCAGCTGCTATCCCGGCACGTTCCGGTAGGGGGAGCCGCGCCGACCCTGCTCACCTTCGCTGTGCGGCTCTGCACGCGGGTAGCGGCGCACAAAACTGGGCGAGCTGTCGGAGGAGGGTGCAGAGCGGGGCGGCGAGCCCGAGGCGGCGGCCAGGCCCTCGTGCGAGGCGGCGTTGTGCAGGGGCCGGTAGCGGGCGAGCGGCGAGGGTGGCGGCTCGTCCTCCTCTAGGCTGCGCCGCAAACCCGGGGGCTCCAGGCAGAAAGAGCCCCCGGCGGGGGAGCCCGGGCCGGAGTGCAGAGGCGAGCGCAGCCTGTGCAGCGGGCTACCGCAGCCGTCAGTCACCTGCCAAAGGAGCAGCAGCTCATCCAGAGCTCCCTCCAGGCTCGGTGGAGGACGGAGACCCGTGCACTCTGGGCTGAGCCAGAGCATTAGGGGAGCTCTCCTTCCTGGGGCCTGGAGGATGGGTTTCCCTGTGCCTGAGGCTGAGGAGTGACTGGGCAGCGAAGGAGGAAATGAGCTTGGAGTCACAGGCAGGGTGACTCACACGAAGTGAGGACATCCTGCTTCATTTGCTAACTGTGTGACTTCCTGAGCACTTCAGGCCTCAGCTTCCTCGTGGGTAAAATAGGGTAATACCTCTAAAGGGAATCAAGAGCCAGAAGTGAACAGTTAGCTGAACTTTGGAAGCATTACTGTCAGATCCTATCTGGGGGTGCACTTCCCTGGAAGGGGAGGAACGATCCAGGGGCAAGGTGTGAGTGTGTGTGTTACCGAACCTTGCCTCCAGGCCCATCAGAGCCTTCACCATCCTCAGCAGAGCTGGCACTGTCCCGTAGCCTGGAGCGGGAGGGCCGGTGTCTCCGGCCCTTGGCCAGCAGCTGAGCCCGGGCCTTGTGTAAGCTACTGTCCAGTCTGGTGGTCTCTGGCACAGCCAAGTCCAAGTCTGCAAATAGAGACCAGACCCACCTCATGTGGCCACCCTGGCTTACACCCTGCTGGGGAATGCAGGGTACAGGGAGCATAGGTGAAGCTCAGGTCTCCCACAGACTAGTCTCAGCCAGGCCAGCTAGCACCTGCACACAGCATGCGCCCAGCTCTCATGTAGGCAGGGCACAGAATCATGTTTTGTATACCTGCCTGGGAATGAATCATTGTCACTCTTGTTCTGTCTCTGACCATGGCACTGGGTCTCCAGACAGAAATGGCCTCAGGATGGGTCAAGACCTTTCTATCCACTCCTGTCTTATGATTTCTGGGACCCCTATTCCATTTTCCACACACACCTTGTCTTTCCTGCTCCTCTCTTGTCCCAGAGGTACTCTCCCACACACACTTAAAAGCCACTTTGTCTATTTCCAGCCCTGACTCCTCCACTGAATTCCAAGTCTAGGCACAGAAGCACCTGCTAGGGAACTTACATAACAGCACCTCCACATTCAGGGCTGGGGAGGATAGAGCTCAGTCTGTAATGTGCTTGCCATGCAAGCATTGAGGACCTGAGTTCAATCCTCAGAGCCCATGTAAAAGAAGATGTGTGTGGTGACATGTGCTTGTAAATGCCAGCACTGGGAAGATAGAGATAGGCAGATGTGGATCTCTGAGGCTCACTAACCAGCCAGCCTAGCCTAACCACACCAGCCCCAGGCCAGTGAGAGACCCTGTGGAAGGTGCCTAAGGAATGACCTGAGGCTGTCCTCTCACCTTCACACAAAGACACATACATGCATATACATGCGCACACAAAAACACATAGCCTACATTCACTGCCTTGCTTTAAGCAGACTTCTCTCCTTCCTAGACTAATGGTTTACCTAAGTCACCCAAGTTGAACAGCTCTAAGCTACCTTTCCCTGAGCCCTAGAGTCCATTCCCACATGGCACTATCTCCTTGTCACCTCTGCTGTATGTCCAGCAGTGTCTTCAGTTTCCATGCCACACAGAGCTCCTGGCTTTCCCTTCCCCACACTGCTCCTCCTGGATGGTCCTGCTATCTTGGTGGACAGTAGCTCCATCTTTCTAGCTACTTAGGCCAAACCCGGGGCCTTCCTTGACTCACCTCACCCTCCTGTCCTACAAACAGGTCCAACTGCATTCCTGTTAGCTCCACCCTCGGGATATACCTAGTCATACTGAAATATTGATGGTGAAGCATGAACGAGGTTCAAAATGATCCAGGGCAATGGGGGTGGAGAGAGGCAAGGGTGAAACAAGCCTGGCCAGGAGGTGACCATGGTAGAGAGATGGAGTGACCAGACAGAACATGAGACACGGCATGGTACACTGAGCTCTTCCCTCTATTTCTGAGTATGTCAGCGGTTTTAAATATTTAATTATGTGTCTCTAGGGGTGTATGTGCACATGAGTGCAGGTTCCCACTGAATTCAGAAGAGTGTCAAATCCCCTGGAGCTAGATTTACAGGCAGTTGCGAGATGCTCAACATGGGTGCTAGGAACTGAACTCTGGTCCTCTCTGCAAGAGCAGTACCTGCTCTTAACTGCTGAGCCATATCTCCATCCCTGAGTCTGAGATTTTCCCAGCAAAATATTGCTTATGAATGAGTGTACACATGTATGCATCTGCACATACTGGGGCAGGGAAGAGAGAGGAGCACCAGCAGCCTCCCTGGTCTAGGTCCCCATCATCTCTTGCCTCTATTATTATAAAGGGCTTCCTAGCTGGCCTCCTTTCCCACTTAGTCTGTTTTTCAACACAGCAGCCAGAGTGATCCTAATGCGATGTGTCAGCTCTGTCACTCCTGCTCAGAACCCTCTGGTGACTTCCATCACACGCAGAGTCAGAGCCAAAGTTCTCCCAGGGGCCTTCCAACTCAGTCTATGCTCCACATACCTCTCTGAGCTTCTGTCTCCATCCTTTCCCTCCACCCTTCCTCACATAGACCCTGCCTGCACCTCAGGGCCTCTGTGTATACAACACCCTCCTCTACACACTCCAAAGCCCCACTCCTGCTTTTTCCTGTCATTTATTACTCTCTGACATCCTGTATACTTTAATTTTATTGCCTCTTTCCACCTATTAGAGTATCTGCTCCGTAAGGACAGGTTTTTCTGTTTTGTCCACTACTGTTATCACAGGTATTGGACAGCACCTGGTGCATAGCAGGTGCCCAGTGAATACTCTTAAAGAACAAGGGCTCAGTTGGTAGAGTGTTTGCCTAACATGCATGAGGCCTTGGGGTTTGACCTCTAGCACTACATAAACTAGGCATGGTAGTACATGCCTATAATCCCAGCACTTGGGAGGTTAAGGCAGGAGGATTAGAAGTTCAGGGTCATTCTCAGCTACATAGCAAGTTCAAAGCCAATCTGTGCTACATGAGATCCTGTTGAAAAGAAGAGGAGAATGAAGAGGAGGAGGCAGAGAGGGAGAGAGGGAAGGAGAGAGGGAGGGAGGAAGAAGGATGGAGGAAGGGAGAGAGGGAGGGGGAAAGGGAGAGAAGGAGGGAGAGGGAGAGAAAGAAAGTTCTGTTGAGGCTTCCCTCACCAGTGTGACCTTGGCCCCTCCTTTCCCTTTGACCTGCTTCAGCTCAGGCTTCCATCAGCTGCCCCACCTCCTACCTGTGGCTGTGGTCCTCAAGTGTGGCTTCTGCCTCTGTCTCTATTTGACCTTCCTCTCTGCACCTTCCACAGGCTAGAAAGAACTTTCTAAAGCATATTTCCAGTCATATTTTCTATTCTCTGCTTTATTTTTATGTTTTTATTTTATTTTTTAAATATTTTATTATTTTTATTTTATGTGTCTGAGTGTATTGCCTGCATGTATGTGAGTGCACCTGTGTTGTGAAATGCCGCAGAGGTCAGAAGAGGCCTTTGGATTCCCCTGGAAATGGAGTTAAGGATGGTTCGTAGCTGCCATGTGTGTGCTGGGAATCAAACCCGGGTCCTCTGCAAGAGCAGTCAGTGCTCTTAACCGCTGAACCATCTCTCCAGTCCCTATTTTTATATTTTTAAAAGGAAGACTGGCCGGGCGTGGTGGCGCGAGTTCCAGGACAGCTGGGACTACAGGGAGACCCTGTCTCAAAAAGAGGAAGACTGGTTTATTGAGTTTACTACAAGAGGAGAGGAGGCTGGGTTAATTAATTAATTATTAATTTATTTAATCCACTGAGTCCAATTAGTACTGCCCATATGTGCATGGGTGTGGGGTCATCCACTGGGGACTCCCCTGCTTTTGAAACCCTAAGAAGGGAGAATCCCAAAGCCAACACCATAAAGACCACTTCCTCAGCCCTCCATTCAAGGCCTGAGAGATCTACCCATCCTTCTGTGTTTCCCAGGCTCCTTCCTCTTCTGTGCTCTGGAGCCAAATGAGCCAGACCAAATCTAATTCACTTGCTGACCAGATAACCCTACATGTAGTTATTAGTTTCCTCATCTATAAAACTGGACTCCAATTAGCAGGGTCTGCCTTAGGGCATTATTGTGAGCAGTAAATGGGACACTCCATATAAAGTGGTTGGTCATAATGCATGCCGCTTAGTGGCTGCACAATAGTCTTTTGCTATTGATAGTGGGAACAGTGCTGAGTTGCTTATACTAGTCTTGTGTATACTCCTATATATAGCCTGCCTCTGCCTCCACTCCCACCTGGGTCCTACACTCAGTCAGTTCCACGCCTTTGGTCACCCAGCACATCATCTGCTCATCCCACCTCCGCAGGCCTGGCACATGATAAGTTTGATGAAGTGGCAGAAGGAGAGTCCTTCCTTAGCCACTGTGAGTCCTGAGTGCCCAGTGCTGGGCCACAGAGAAGGCAAGTGCCCCAGTGGGTGCTAAGCCAAGCCTCACTTCCAGGGCCTAGACTGTGCTTCAGCAGAGATGGACTCTGGGCACCATGGGGCTGCTGAGAGTTACCTATGGGCCCCATCCCATCCTGTTGTCCCTTTGTGATGCTGGGCCACATGCATGTTAGGCAAGCACTCTGCCCCTGAACTACACCTCCAGCCCTGCCTATTTCAGGCTTCTGCCTAGCACTGCTCCCCATGGACAAGCCCATTGCTGTCTCCCCAGAGCACATTAGGACCTTTGCTGAACAGACAAGAAAACAGGGAGTGACTAGGGCTACTGTTTTAGAATAGGTAGCCAGGCAGAGGTCTGAGTGACCATACAGAACCAAGGTTGTAGAGAGAACCAGTTCTTTTCTAAGGAGAGGGAATGGTGCAGGTTTGGCTTGGAATGTCTGTCAAGGAACAGCCAGGGGTCTAATCTCGCCCAAAGGAGCTGGGGAATGGCCTGGTTGAAGGTGGAAATAGACTCCACAGCCATGAAAACTGTCCAGGGGCGTGGTGAGGGCTGGGAGAAGACAGCTTCTGTCAGAACTGCTCTCCTGGACCCAGGTATGACCCACTTCAGTTCTGGTGAAGAACCTCCAGGTGCCTCTGGAAGTATCCAGGAGCGGGTAATAGCTCACACTTCCCTGAGCTTGCTGCTGCAGCCCTTGCTCTAAGTGCTTCACAATTACTGGCTTGTAGAAACCTCCCACAATCTGGGAGGAAAGAACTCAAGAAGAACTAAAGATCCCCAGGGAAGCCTTAATTTGCCCAAGGGCACAGAGCTGGCAAGAGCCAGCCAGGGCCAAAGACAGGCAGTCTGACTTGTATGGAAGCACCAGATAGATTGGCTGTGTCTGTTCTGAACAGAGTAGGGGGCAGCACTGAATCCATGCCCCCATTTTCTGCGTGGCGAAACTAAACTCAGAGAAGAGAGGTTAGGCCAGTCATGCAGAGAGGGTAAAAGTGGTATAAGGTCTCTCCTGGTCCCAAGGCCAGTTTTCTGGCCTCCTCTCCATTCCTGGCACTCAGCTGGTGCCCAGCCACCGGCACCAGGACAATGGGCCCCTGCTCCACTGGGCCACATGGGTATCACCCACAGTCTGGAGAGCAAACAGCCTCTTGAGGACTTAGGGGTATAAGGCAAGGTGGGGCCAGTCTCACCTGGGGTTCCTTGGTCTACTAGGTCCCTCAAACCCTTCTTCCACCTACTTCCTTCCTTGCCTCCCCCTCTGGGCCCTGGGCAGTGGGAGTGATGAATATTTAATTGATTTTCACATCAGGAAACTGGCCCAGCTACCTCAGCAGAGAGGAGAAAAACAGGAAGGGATGGGTCCAGGAGCAGGGGGTAAGAGGTGGGGACAGTGGAGCCTGAATCCCCCTCCCCCAAGGGAAGCTCATGTCTGTGGGCCAGCTAAGGTTAGGCTGGGTCTGTGTGGAGCCAGAATCAGAGACAGGGGCCTAGAGGAACACTGGGGGCCTGTGGTGGGGAACAGTGCTCTCCTAGAAGCTAGGAAGCAGCCATACTGGTATGGCCAGGGTCAGGAGCAGAGGCAGGATGGAAGAGAAGGGAGGGGGAGGGCAAAGATGGGAAGAAAGCAGTACAAAGTTGGAGCCCTGGAATTCCATGCTTAGGAGCCCCTCTGAACCACAGCCACACCCATGAATCCTCCTTCTACCCAAATCTAGTTGGAAGACAGCCTTTCCACCCACAGAGTCTGCTGGGAACTCTGCCCCGGTAGAGTGGTCTCTCTAAGAGATAGTGTGTGCATGCACAACAGTGGGTGTTGAGAGTATGGGCAGGCAGGGATACTAAAGCTGTGTGTGTGTGTGTGTGTGTGTGTGTGTGTGTGTGTGTGTGTGTGTACGTATACGCACAGCCCCAGAGGGTGAGGTCCCAGGCACTTAAGTATGTGGCCTGTAGGGAATGTGTGTCATCTGAGCTGGAGTATACAGGGTACAGCCCAGTGACTAAAGGAGAGAGCCAGCCACTCTAAGGTTCTAGTCCCAGTTCTGCCCCTAACTTGCCATGTTATTTATTTATTCTATTTATTTATTGTGTATGTGTTCATGTGTGTATATGTGCGTGTTTCCCCACATGCACACAAGTGCATGTGCACATGTGGGGGCCAGAAGTTCATGTCCTCAATCCCTTTCCACCTTATTTTTTGAGACAGGGTCTCTCATTGAACCTAGAGTTCACTGATTCCACTAGACTGGCTAGCCAGGCACTGCTGAGAATCTTCCTGTTCTCTCCTCCCCAGCACTGGGATTACAGCTATGCACTGCTATGCCCAGCTTTAATGTGGGTGCTGGGGATCAAATTCAGATCCTCATGCTTTCACAAAAAGGACTTTACCTACTGAGTCATCTTCCTAACCCATCCTCTATCTGACCATTTAAAAAATATTTTATTTATGATTATTATTTTTTAAGTGTATGCGTGTACTGCCTGTATGTATGTAAGTACACCTCTGTCATGCAGTGCCCTCAGAGGTCAGAAGAGGGTGTTGGAATCCCTGGAACTGGAGTTAGCCACCACATGGGTGCTGGGAATTGAACCTGGGTCCTCTGCAAGAATAGCCAATGCTCTTAACTGCTGAACCATCTCTCCAGCCTCTATATGACCATTTTTTAACATTAAAAATTATTATTGTGTGTATGTACATGACACATGGTGAGTGTGCATACTGCAGCATACATGTGGAGGTCAGAGGACAACTTTGTGGAGTTGGTTCTTTCCTTCCACCTTTACGTGGGTTGTGGGAATTGAACTCAGGTTCTAGGTTTGTACAGCAAGTGCCTTTACTCTCTGAGCCATCTCACTAGCTCCCATGTGATCTTTAAAGGGGCTGGAGAGATGATGGCTCAGCGGTTAAGAACACTGGTTGTTCTTGCAGAAGACTCAGGTTCGAATCCCAGCACCCACATGGTGGATAACAACTGTCTGTATCTCCAGTTCCAGGACAGCCACTTCTGTCCTCCGCGGGCATTGCATGACACGGGTCCACTCACCTACATGCAGGCAATACACACATACACATAAAATAAAAATAATAAATAAAATATTAAAGGTCATTTCAGTACTTTGTACCCTACACACCTCGTCTGTACAGTTAGCATTGTGAGAATTAAATGATATGCCGCATGTGAGATCACACATACATACATATTGCAGCACCCACAGTCTGCCCTTCCCCATGCAATGCCTAGTGGACTGGAGGGAGGAGCTAGACATAAATTCACATAGAACTTACCAAAAACCTCATCTGCAGGTTCTCGGAGCTTTGAAGAAGCCATGACTCAAGAGAGCTAGGGAAGACAAGAGGGAGAGAAGAAAAAAAGAGATCCCACATAAGAGATTCAGATGCCTGTGGTAGTAAAGAAGCCAGTGGCTTCCAGCTTCTGGCTCACCAGCTGCTCACCTTCCCTTACAAACACTTCCTTTGACCCTTGCAAGAGAAGCCATCTGTGTCAGGGAGGACATTGGGACAGGAGGCATAAACAGGAGAAAAGCTAATCCAGGGCACAGATGCAGGCTGGGTTTTATGAGCTGGGCCCGGCTGCTGACTGTTGACTTAACATAGGTCCCTGCACTGCCTTGGGCCCTCCCATTGCTAGCATCCCCTAAAAGCTCTCAATCATCATAAACTGTTCAACATCAAATCTAGAAGTCATGGAGATGATTAAATCTAGTCCTCTCATTTTACATAGAAATGGGAAGGAATGGCTGGTCCAAGACCATGCAGCAGTTAATGGCAAGTACATATTAAAACCCAGGTTCTGGCCGGGCATGGTAGCACACGCCTTTAACCCCAGCACTTGGGAGGCAGAGGCAGGTGGATCTCTGTGAGTTCAAGGCCAGCCTGGTTTACATAGTGAGTTCCAGGCCGGCTGGGGCTACAAGGAGAGAGAGACCCTGTCTCAAAAAAAAAAAAAAAAAAAAAAAAAAAAAGACCAAAAAACAAAACAAAACGCCCAGGTTCTTCCTTCCATTTGCCTATTTTTCTTTTTTCTTATTTCTTTTTTATGTCTTTTTTTGAAGCAGGGTTTCCCTGTAGCCCCAGCTGTCCTGGAACTCACTATGTAGACCAGGCTGGCCTTGAACTCACAGAGATCCGCCTGCCTCTGCCTCCCAAGTGCTGGGACTACAAGCGTGCACCACCACGCCCGGCTATTTTTCTTTTTTTAAATAAATAATTTATTGAGCATTTCATACATGCATATAAGGTGTTTTGATCAAATCCATGCCCACTCCCTCCCCTCCAACTCCTCCCATATCTCTCCATCACTTTTTTTCTGATAACTTCATTTACTTTCTTCTTTGATTTATTTATTTATTTATTTTTATGGGGCTTTTGGCTACTCCTACATTCCTCCCTCTGAAGAGGTAACCCTAAAATCTTTAAAGGATTAGATACAAGCTCCCAAATACTTTAGACATTTTTGGCTTTTGGAATAGAGTATGTTACTAAAATGCCCAAGGACATTTTGACTTTTAGCCAAGAAACTGGCTACTTTTCTTTGGGGTCTTTTTACCCTAATTGCCTAGCCAATTCCTACCTCCTATTCTTATCACACCATCCTCTGAAGAGGTTACCCAAATTGCCAATAGGGAATAGGGACCCAGACTGCTCTGGCTTCTTCCATGCTGAACAGGGATGCAGGGTGAGGCAACTGGAGTACCCCTTCAGTGGGTCTATCTAAAAGACTCCCAAATTGCACAACTCTTATCTCTAAGGGGAAAAGAAAGTCCTTGGATCGTGAATAGGAGATATGAAGAAGTAAAGGCAAGAGTAATTAGCATTACAAGTTCTAGACAGGGAACTAGAAAAATATCAGAACAGGGCAATTTTCAAACATTCATATGAGAATTCATTGGAATTTCTTGACAAGGGCTTCCAAAAGCATCCCTCTATTGGGTTCCTCCTCATTTTTCTTTTTGTCTTCCAAGGCCTATCCATTTTTCTATCCATCTGCCTGTCTGTCCCTCTGTCCATCTGCCCATCCACCCATTCATTCATCTATCCACCCATCCATCCAATATCTGCCCCCACCCATCCAACAACTGCTATGTCCATGCATCTACCCATCTTTGCATCTCTCAGTTCTCTTCCATCCATCACCCAATCCAGCTCTTCTGACTCCATCACTGGGGTCCTTACCACCTGCTTTTCTGAACTGTTTGGGAACTGGCACCACCAGCATGGCCACTGTTCTAGATAGAGTTCTCACGGTTCTTGACAGACTCACAGATGCAGGAGGGCACAAGGAGTTTTCACAGCAGAACATTTCTGAAGCAATAAGTATGTTCTGAGAAGTGTAGATGGACAGGGCCATGTTTTTTGGTGTTTTGTTTTGTGGGAAGCAAGGAGGGCAGGCAGGTAGGGAAGCAGGATAAGATGCAGCAGAAACACCTTGGGCAGGCTTTCTAGCAGGTACAGAAGATACTGGATGAGAAGAGAGGGAGCTCAGGAACCACTGATGGCTTAAAGCAGGGAGATGTGATCTCTAGTGACTTCTGACACTCAGGTCCCAGGAGAAGGGCAGGACAGTGGGCTAGACTGCATGCCTTCTAGCTCTCCTGTCATTACAAAGACATTATGTTGCTGTGAGCTGCCAGGCTTGGAATCTTGGTATCCCCACTTTATAGGTGTAGACACTAAGAGGCCAAAATCTCCTTTGACATGTTTCCTGTCTCTCAGCTCTATCCTGGAGACTGTATCTACAGTTCTTGGAGGTGTTCTTGAGGGAAGGATTTTGCTCGGGGAAGAAATAGGGTAGAGGTCCATACTGCTAGGTTAAGGCAAGCATTAAAACCACCTCCGCTGGGCTTCTAGGGTACCTGGAGCTAAGTCAAGAAATGCCATGTGGGGGGTCAAGGATGACGCTCCAAGTATCCTTGTGCTGTTCATGAACTCTGGAACTAGTAGCCAAGATCTAGAACATTCCTTCCTGGCCTAAGAGGCTAGATGGGTGTAGGCTGGACTTCAATATGAACTATATTCCTTCATTGCAAAGCTTTATCTGACTAGGATCCAGCTGCCCCCTACTCCAGAGAACTGTCCTAGATTGCCCCCCAACTCCTATTTGTCTGTCATTTTATTTAAAAATATTTTATGTGTATGAGTGTGTTGCCTGCATGTGAGTGCACCCGTGTTGTGCAGTGCCGCGGAGGTCAGAAGAGGGCTTTGGATTCCCCTGGAACTGGAGTTAAGGATGGTTTGTATCTGCCATGTGGGTGCTGGGAATCGAACCCGGGTCCTCTGCAAGAGCAGTGCTCTTAACCGCTAAGCCACCTCTCCAGCCACTTATCTATGTTGTTTTAAAATTCACTTTTCCAATCCCTGGGAATAGAGACCATTTCATACTTTACTGATTTCCTACTTGAGTCTTACCTCCCCACCTCACATGGGCCATGGGCTCTCCTTTCAGACTAGAGATTCAGGATAGTAGCTGCATCTCCCATCAGAATGTCTGCTTTTTGTGAACAGCTGTGGCACCGCCTCTCTTAAACATGAAGAAGGCCAGTCCATGTGTTCTTTATTCAAGGCCCCAGTCCAGAGTGAGGCCCTGTTGTGCACTGAGGTCTGTTTTAGACCCCTCAGATGGCCTGGGGCCTCCAACTCACATTGTCAGTCCATCCTGATTCAGCACAAACTGCTTTCTCTATCTCTCCATTCAGCATCTAGCTCCCTGGGCTATGTGGGGGAGCCTTCCTGTACTGTTCCATGGGGAACTCTAGGGAAGCCAGATTTTAAGAGGTCACCTGCCCTGCCACCCAACCCTCTCATTTCAAACACTGAGCCTTGGAAAATTGGAAACACAGACCCACCCCTCCTCCCACTCTTACACACACCCTCTTTTAGGTGCTCAACTACAGAAGGGTGGAAATTAACCTGTTCCCTTGGACACCCAATGGGTTCCCTTGTCACCAGACTACTCCCTCCACAGCTACCAATTCCTAGAGGAGCATAAACAACCTCTGACCTTTCTCTGGGAGGAAGGGAAGGCAGGTGACTTCTAAGCTACCTAAGGCCCAAGGGAAGGAGAAAGCAAAACAAAAGGTAGGCAATCTGGGGATGGAGCAGAAGTAGGAGCAGGCAGACCCAGTGGTAGAGACTGGCAGCATTTACAGGGCAAAGAGAAGGAAGATCAAGAGCAGACAGGGGGAGTCAGGCAAGGCAGCTAAGGGGCTCTGTACACCTGCCCAGCAGGCAAGAGGGAAAAAAGGGACCCAAGTAGAGAGGGTCTGAGAGAGGGAGGGGGGGCGGGGGCAGCCGCACGGGGGGGGGCAGAGAGACAGAGAGAGACAGAGGAGAGAAAGTGTGCAGCTGGCCTGGGGGAGGCAGTTGTGACGCAAGGGACGCCGTACCCCTGCATACCCCTGCCGTTGTCACCAATCTCCCAGCCAGCCCCAGGCTTGGGGCAGCCCACACGAGTTCAACAACCTCTCAAAGCCTTGTGAAGATGGAGTTGGGGGACAGAACACCTACTCCACTCGCAGAGCCCCCTCTCCCCAATCACAGAGGGTGGTCAGTTTCTCCGACCTACCAGCACAACTGCCGGCCTGGTAGGAAGGAGTTAACCCCTGTCCCCCTGCCCCCACACCAGTTTCTTCTTTTTTATTAATTTCCCCGGGCGCGAGGGAGGGGATTAAGGGTACAAATCCTATCTATGTCCCCTCCCTTGACAGTCCAGCTCTCCAGCCCGTGAGGTCCCCCTAGGGAGGAAGAAAGGCCCTTGTGGCTTGGTTCCATCTACACCCACTTGGGGGGGGGTCCCATCGCGAGTCGAGATGTTGCGGCTTCCCGGTCCACCCGAGGGGGCCCGGACCCTCACCTCCAGCATCCGTCATCTTCAGCGTCCTGTGTCACGGGAACCCCTCAGGCCCATGGTGCTCAAGGCGAGGGCCGGGCAGGAGAGGGGCGGGAGACCTTCACCCTGGCCGCGGGGGGCTCCGGGCTGGCTCGAGTCGTTCCATCCCAGGGTGTTGTGTGGAGATAGACCAGGAGGGTCCAGGAGCCGGAAGGAATGGAGAGCGGGGTTATACCGGGATGCAGGGAGAAGGTCTGCAGGAAGCAGGAGGCGCGGGCGGGGCTGGACCGGGAGACCTGACGGGAGGATGCTCCCTGTGTGCGTGCGTGTACGTGTGTGTGTGTGTGTGTGTGTGTGTGTGTGTGTGTGTGTGTGAGAGAGAGAGAGAGAGAGAGAGAGAGAGCGAGCGAGCCCCTTCTAGCCCCGCCCCCGCCAGGCCCCGATCGCGGACCCCAGCCACAGGACAAATCCCTCAGCGTCGTGGCGGTGGCGGGGCGCTGGGGGCGCGTGGTGGGGAAGCCGGGAGCCCCAGAGACAAAGAGCGGGGAAGGGGGGGGGGAGGAGGAGGAGAAGGAGGAAGAGGAGGAGGACGGCAGGGGTGAGGCAGCTGGCGCCACGGCAGGGCTGGGGATCCCAGTTGCCGCTACTTCTCGGACGGTGGGAGACGCAGCGCAAAGGAGTCTGCGCGGGGACCTGGCGAGTGGCGGGGAAAGCGATCAGGGAGGCGGTCCCGACTAGGGATCCACGGGGCTTCCGCCTCGTCTGCAGGGTCTGTGAGGGTTCCTCGTTCATTCATTCATTCACCCATCCACCATCCACCCAACTATCCATCCATCCATCCATCCTACACTTAGCCAGCTTGGGCGCTGAGGCTAAAGGGTCCCACGGTGAACAGGACCCCCGGGGATTGATGCAGTCAGGGCACAGCCAAGTGCAGAGTCTCTCCCAACCCTCAGGGGCTATGGACCCCCGTTCAGAGGACACTTCAACTTAAGGAGGGGGGTGCACTCAAGCCACTGGCGCAGGGGACCGGGCGGGGGGGTATGTTCCTAAAGATGACGTGTGGCCTTTTGCAGCTCAGGCTAGGGAAGAACGTGGGGATTATGGGGGGCATAAACAAGAGGGGAAGGTGAGTTGAGGCTGGAGAGGCTGGCAGTTCATCCTACTACAAAAAAAAAAAAAAAAAAAAAAAAAAAAAAAGTTAACCCAGGAGGGAAGGGCTCCGATATGCATTTTAGGAAGACCCCTTGGGCTCCCCAATGGAAACAACAGACTGCAGAGAGCAGCCTGAAGGCTGGCACTGCCTCAGGAAGCTGTTGAAAGATGACAGTAGTGGACATGAAGATTATAAAGATCAAGCTGAGCGCTATTCTGGCTGTAGAACTGGACACAGATTTGGGGCTGGCTGGACAAAGAACTGAGGGAGAAGGAGGAGTCTAGGATGCCTGTGGGTCTTGGCTGGGGACCTGGCAGTGCTGGAGCAGCTGGGGATAAACAGTAGGGTGGATGAGCTCAGCCTTAGACCTGGTGAACTGGAGATGGCAGGCCAGTCAAGGGGAATCATGTAATCAGCTTCAGCTAGCTACCGAGCAGCAAGGCTTGGGTGTGCTTCTCATATTATTTAACATCACCCTCACAATAAACCTGTGCAGTATGAGTTCCTGTTACCCCCTATTTTGCACAGACCAGAGACTTAAAAGGAAAGTGTTCAGGAGTAAGTGGTAATGCTGGAGAAGGTCCAATGCTTAGAGAGGTGTGGGGTCTGGAGAGGCAGAGAGCTCCCGATGGCTCATGGGAACTAAAGGCTGCCAAGGACCTGTGGGCAGTGGCATATTGAGCCAGGAGTTCGATAAAACTGAGTGAGGATAGTAGTGAGGGGGTTCGGAGCATCCCAGAGCTGGGGGAGCCCCAGGTGTCTTTAGAATTGCTGAAAACCATGAGTGCTGGTTAGACTGTAGGTACCTGTGGAGGAGGTGAGGTCTCTGGGGACAGCCTATGAGAGGGTTTCTTTTTTCCTGGTGCTGGAATGGACCCCAGTGTCTGAGGTTTTTAAAGAGGACATGGTTTGCAGGCATCTCCTGAGATCTAGGTGGAGGGCTAGAATGGGGAGATTGATTAGATCCCAAGTGGTTGGGGATAATGGGATGTAAGGTCAGTGTTGGACCAGACATTCTGTGAAAGGATACTAGGTAGGCCACAGGACCTCCAAAGGCTCCTGTCCTATTCAGACCTAAGGTTGGGAACCCCCCAACACACACACACACACACACACACACACACACACACACACAC